CTGATGTAGAGTCAATATGTGTATCTTCTACTTGGTCATGGCCAAACACATGCTAAATGAAGGGGGAAGGATTGTGGCCCCTCATGTGCTCTTTGCTGTGAGCCCTGTGTCCCTCTTTCCAAACTATATCCCTGAAAGGATTCTCTCTTCCATTTTCCTGGAATCTCCAGGTGGGCCGAGTCACTGTATATGATTCCAAAAGGCAGTCCGGGAAGACCAAGGAGACGAGCGTCAACTGGTGTTGGCTGATGGCTATGACCTAGAGATCCTGGATGGTACTAGGGACACCGTGGACGGGTAAGAAGGTGGGAGGGCACAGACAAATGGGCTGAGCTCACTGGCTGCCCATCAGCAGAGCTGAGGGGCCACTTACTGTCCCACAGCTTTTCCACATGGGCTCCTGACTCTACTGACCTGGATGCTTTTGTCCCCAGGCCCCGGAATGAACGATCCGAGGTCTCCAAGAAGAACATTTTTCTTCAATTTAAGAAGCTCTGCTCCTTCTGTTACCGCAGGGATTTACTGAAACTCTCCTATGGTGAGGCCAAGAAAGCTGCCCGGACTATGAGATAACCAAGAACTACTTCAAAAAAAGTCTGAAGGACATGGGCTATGGGAACTGGATTAGTAAACTCCAGGAGGAAAAGAACTTTTATCTCTGCCCAGTGGCCAATGACTGAGGGCCCAGCCTGGCACTAGTGAGAGAGGGAAGTCTTAGCATTCCTCAGATTCCTCATCACATTGGTCAGGACTTTTACAGTTCTGTTTTGTGTTGTTTTTATATTTGTGTTAATGGAGTCGTTGTGCTGGTACTAAAGCTTTAATTCCCATTTACTCTGCTTTCTTGGGGATTTTTAGGCAGAGCCTAGTCCAAGTTCCATCTCTTTTCCCAAGTACAGAAGCAGAGACTTAGAGGAAGGAGAAAGGGTTTATCTTTCCACCCAAACATGCAGAGCCTCCAAGCACCTGCTGCCCACTTCCTCTTCTTAAGTTTTGTTTTGTTTTTTCCATTTCCTTTTCCTTTGTGTTTGCTACACTCACCTCTCATGGACTTCATTAAGTTCCAGTCAGTTCTCTGCAAATCATGTCGGGAACTCACGGTTTCATTCACGGATTCCACAGGCCCAGGTCCTTCCCTTTCTGAGAGTCCTTCCTGTGATCATCAGATTTCTCCCTCCCAACCCAAAATGGTAAAGAGCTGAGCTTGAAGAATTTGGTGCACCGTTTACAAGGACAGGCATTGAAAACTACAGTCAGCGAATTACCAGAGCCATTGGAAATTTGATTGGCATCTGCAGATCCTGCACAGTGATGGGATCTTGCACTTCAGCAAGCGGGGGGAAGCTGCTCCTGGGGAAGTGTGTCCCTTCCTTTGCCAGGGAGCAGAGAAGCCAAGAGCCAGCCAGAGTGGGCCCGGCAGGTTGCCCAAGCAGTCACTGAGGTTTCCCCTTCAGGGTGGCACAGACATTCCTCAGAGCACTGCCAGGCTCCCATCTGCCCTTCCATCTAAAGCATTCCTAGGAATAGGCCCTGCTTGTGCAGTAGGGAGGGCTTTAGACCTCAGCCAGCTGCAAGGAGAAAATTCAGGACAAGTCTGAGGAGGGCAGATCATCTCTACTCAGGTGGTCAGCACTTACCAAGAGTAAAGGCAGAGAAATCACTTTGTGGGCCAGATCACTGTCCAATCCAGTATATTTCTCGTGTCATTGATACCAAGAGAAGTTGACTGAGCCATGTGTAAATTCAGAGCTTTTGAAAAGAATGCCAGAGATGTTGATTCTTTGCTTTAGTTGCACTGATTTAAAATTCAAATATGTTTTTCCCCCTTTATTCACCCAAGTATTTTCATTTAGCTGTGGCTTTGGAAGCTGGTGGACAGGGCACCGGCCTGAGGTCCTCCTCCCTGTTAGAGAGACAGCACTTTAGGTGAAAGGGCAGGTTGTCCTCAAAAAGAATTCCTGAGGAATTCTTTGTCTATACCTCCACCCTGCTTGACTCTGTGATCAGATCCTCAGGCCCCTGGGAAAGGTTGACCTCTGGGGCTCTACCAGCCTGGTATGCTCAGGACTGTGGAGCCCATGCTTCCTCTGGGATCAGGCTGCCACTGTGCTCTGGATGATATCTTCACCTGGACCCTCACAAGATTTTCATGTCCCCCACCTCAGCCCTCTAACTGCTGTCTAGTTCACCCATTCTGTGTCTGGCCCACCTCTGCAACTGTAGATAAATCCTTGTTTGCATCTGTATCATGACTACATAACACCCTGTACCTATGACCAAAAATTGACTAACACAAGTTTTAAGATACACTGAGGTTGTCTTTGCAAAACACAAAAGCATCCCAAGGAGCTAGTGGAGAATTTGTGCCTGTCTTTGGAATGGAAGAGGCTTGCTCCCTGGCATTGTGCATATCACCAGCTGAAATATTCACTAAAGGCACATTAAATGAGTTCTGGCAGCTGCCTCTGGGGAGGAGCAGTGTTGCGGGCCCAGTCATTGGAAGAAAACTTCTCCCCTGGATTATTTAGGCTGGAGGCTACTGATAGCTCAGGATGTTGTCCCTCTGGTCCTCTGGGACAGTATTGTCTGGAAGAGCTGTGACTTGGCTGCCTCTGATTTCCCAAAGAGCACACTGTCTCTTGAAAGATGGCAGCCTCGGCGGACCCCGTAGGCTGGCCCAACCCAGATCCCAGAGCCTGACGGAGGCCGGGAGGGGCGGGCCCCCGCGTAGGCTGCCTGGTGTGCAGCAGTGAGTGGAAACACCTAACCGGCGCAATTCAATCAGGCTGTGGCTGACAGAGAGAGAAGCTAGGCCTCTCATATAAGCTTGCATATATAAGGAACAGAGAATATGGGAAGAGGCAGCAACAAGAAAGGCTCCTTGGCCCCCAATTCTGAGAAACAGGCAATAACAGACACCGCACCATTACACATAAGGCGCCATATAGAGAGCCTCATAGACCAATTCAGGAATGAAGTTATCAACGACCTGAAGCTAGAAGTATGCAAAATAGTTAGAGAAATACTAAGCACCACCCAAGAAAAAACAGATGGTGGAATGGAAGAACAGAAAAAGAGGGGAGAAGTGTTTGATGGAGAAAACAGGGAAAGCATAGAATACGTGAAGCAGGTTCAAAGGGACTACCAAGAAACTAAGAAGTCTATCGAAGACTGGCATAACAGCTTGAAAGAAACTAAGGACAGACTATCTGAACTGGAGGGCAGAATTGTAATATGGGAGAATGAAATGAAAAACTTCTTAAAAATAACAAAGAAACAAACAGCAATAATACAAAGACAAGAAGATGATAAGAGGAGCCATAACTTAAGGATTAAGAACATAAAAGAAGAAGTAGGGACACAAACAAATGAACTACAAAAGCTACTCACAGAAATAATCCAGGAGAATTTTCCTAATTTAGCAAAAGGTAAAGATACTCAGATGTATGAGGCATACAGGACCCCAGCCACCTACAACCCTAACAGAGCAACACCCAGGCATATAATAATAAAAATTCCAGAAATTCAATACAAGAACAGAATATTAAAAGCTGTCAGAGACAAGAAGCAGACCACTTACAAGGGAGCACCCATCAGAATTACAGCAGATTTCTCTGCACAAACCATCAAATCACGAAGAGCTTGGGGGGAAATAATTCAAGCTTTGAAAGATAATAATCTCCAGCCAAGATTGAGATATCCTGCACAACTGTCCCTCGAAATTGATGGAAAAACAAGGTGCTTCCAGGATAAAGAGGAACTGGGGGAATTTGCAACCACCAATTCAACTCTACAGAGAGTATTGCAGGATATTCTAAAAAAAGAAAAATACAAAGAATCCAGAAATAATGGAGGCCACAACGAATGGAGCAGAGAACAAAGTGAAGAAGACAAACTGACAGCTACTGACAGAATAAAAGCTCAACAGAAATGAGGCAGAGAAGATTGGATGATAGGAACAGCTATTTTGGAGAAAATGACATCTTAATAGGTAATACTGATTTAGTATCATCTTGTTTTGAAGTCTCATCTAGCTTTTGTCCTTCTGTCTCCAATGGTCCAAATAGGTTGTATCTTACTGGATTTTATTATGTATGATAGTATAAGCAAAAACCTTTTAAAGACAAGGAGATTATACAGAAACCATTGTTCATTTTCTGTTAGTCAATTCTAAATACTCTGTAATGCTGTCATTCTCTTGAATGGTTTTACATTGTTTTGATATACTTAATGCTACAGTATATGAAGTTGTACTCAAGGATTTCAAGGAAAGATAATATGGTAACTACTTTTAGGTCAGGATTATCTGGTGGTGAAACACTATTCTGCTTAAATGGTTATGTTTTGATCTGTGCTGTTTCGTTGTTATGCCCTCTTTTATCTCAATCTCCACTCCATTATTTACTTTTTTATTTTTATCCTTTTAATTAAAGGAAAAAAATAGCAGGATATATTATAGTAACCCACTTTGACTTTCCATTACCTCGATTTAAAGCCCTGTATTACTCTCACCATCTGGTTTTTAACTGATGTTCCCCCATTCTGTTTTGCTGGATAGTATCAGGTTCGAAAATTTAGGCATCAGCTGTGAAGATAATGAGATTCATTATAACGCCCATTCTCATTGACTTTTATCTATTTTTGAAGACCTACAATGTCTCCAATGTTTTGGTTTTGTCGGTTTTATTCTTTACAGTTTTGTTCAATTGTATTGTAACTAACAATATAGGCAATTCTATTAGAGATAGCGGGAGGCATTATGGTAACCATTGTTGATCACCTTGTATTATGTTTTCACATTATCTATTATGTCCACCCTTTTGACTTGACCGATTCTGTTCTGTTATGTCACATTTGGTTTTACTCTCTTCCAAAAAAGTAATAAGAACCGTGGGAGCAATGAAACCCAAAATGTGTAATAGTCATTGTACAAAAGAGAGGAAAAGAAAGTGCTCTGTACTATATAACTGCATGTATATTTAAGTGTATAAGATAGAAAATGATATCACAGAGTTTTATTGGATCATTGAACAGAACTGTTTGCAGTATCATTGATGGAATGTCCACTTTACAAGCTTTAATTTTGTGACTTGAACAATTATTTCTAAGATGACAATATGTAATCCATTAACTAGTAATTTCCTACTGTTCATTTTTTTTTCTGCAAATCTGTATAACTTGTACCCTTTCTCTGCTTTTTTTTCTTTTCTCCTTAAATAAAATTTAAAAAAAAAAAATTAAAAAAAAAAAAGAAAGATGGCAGCCTCAGAGATCTTAATCTAACAAACATGGAATATTTTATCTCTGCTGTGGGAACAGAGCAAGATACCCCGCAGGACAGACAGGCAGAGCTTCCATCCAGTGTTTTCTTTCTGTCCAATCTTTGTTTTTCATAAGCTAGGTCCGCTTCCCGTTTCTTTTTCATGATTTTGTAGTTGATTTGTCTGAACTGTGGCTATTGTGCATTCTGTGAATAATCACTTGTCAGTGCTTGAAGCTGTTTCCTTTACTCAAGTCAAGGGGACTTTGTTGGCTTTGGGGTCTTGCCAGTGGCCCCAGGAAAAGAGTGGGAAAGAGCCCAAGCATCGCCTTGGTGCCATGATGGCTGCAGTCCAGTTTCATGATTCTGATTTTTATGCCCCTTGATTCTAAAAGTAGACATTCCTCATGAATAAAATCAAAGATAAATCTGAATTGTTAGAGAACTTTAAGTCTTGGGGAGGGGCTAAAAATGGGGACAGAGGACCTGTGGTCCTAGGACATGGGGTAACATCATCAGCCACATCTGACAGAACTGGGGGAGAAGATCATCCCTCCACCTGCAGAAAAGCTGCTGTGAAGAACCTTGCTGGGCAGGTGAGCTGCTGCAGGTGGGGTGGGATCCATCCTGTGTTTCCTCCGCTCCACTCCCCAGCCCTCCTCAGAGCACACCATTAAGAAGCTTGTCTCCCGGGACTTGCTATGTAGGATTTCAAGGCTCAGAGTAGGAAGAGGACCCTGAGACTCAAGATTCCTGCTCTGAAGGCTGTTTTGCTGTCTCCACAGCTATTTTGCCTGCAAGGATGTGTGCTTAGAGTCACAGCTGGGACCACAGCAGACTCAGTAGCAGTATTAGAAGACAGCACTTTGGTTTCTTACTTTGTAGCACTGAAATATTTAATTTCAGCTCATTCCACATTGTAGTGTACTCGAGAATTTCTGGACGACCCATCCTTGAGCTTTTAACATTGCTGTCAACAGTGAAACCAAGTCACGGTGAAACTGTCCTCATTCTGACACCGATGGGACAGCTGGGGCCAGGAGAGCCAGTGACATGTTTGGGAGCATGAGCGGAAACTAGAACTTGGCAGAGAGGGAGAGTCTCCTGAAATACAGTGTTGGGTCTGAGCATTTTTAATTTAAAGGCTGAGGAGAATGTCCCCAGGATGTCGTCCTAGGAACCTTGAATGCTTCTTCCTCAATCAGTGCCTAATTTCAATTGGAGGGATATGTGGGGCCTGAGGCCTTTAGGAAGTGGGCAGTGCCCGGGCTGAGGGCACAGCTCCGGAAAACACATTCAGCACCTCCTGGAGGAAGTGGATGGTGTCCTCTCGCCCAGCTCTGGGTGCAGGAAGAAGGCCTGCCCTGCAGGAGCAAGGCGGGCTCATTCCAGATGCTGTTCACCTTGCATCTTCCTCATCGCAAGGAGCTGCATTTTATTTTTTGTAGTGCTGGGCATGGAACATACAGTTGTGCATATGCTGAGCATGCACTCCAGCACTGACCGGTATCCTCAGCCCCACGGTATAATACCATTTTCTGGATTGGAGGCCTGATGAAACCAGGATTCTCCGAACAGCCTGCAGCCTTGACTTCCTGGAGTCTCCCTAGGGCCCACTCCTGTGTTCTGTCTATCTTGAGCCCATCCACTTGTCCACCTCTTTTCCATCTGATAAGTAGGCTTGTTAGGCAACAAACCATAATAATTTAACAACAGACCATTACCACTCACCTTTTCTTTGCTTTTGTGTAATGCCTTTGACTCCTCGTGGGTCCAATTTCTCCAGAAACCACATTTGCCAACTGAACCATGAGAATCACTGCCCCACCGCCCCACAACCACATAACCTCCACCAAAAATACAACAGAGTGACAAGGTATCTTTGGAAACAATTTTCTTACGAGAATCTCAAGTTCCTAATGAGTCCAGCTAGGGTGGGCTAGTCCCATGATGCTAGTCCTGGAGTGCAGACAGGAAGCAAGGGGCAGTGTGAGGAGACCAGCACCAGAGGTATGTGAGTGAGGGGTCCTCCTGACTCCTAGAGCTATGCTCCCTTAAGCACACTGACTATCACATGGACCCTTAGACCTGCCAGCATAACTACTGAAGGGTGGCTGCCCATTCGGTCTGATCAGGGCCATTGAGGGGAGTTGGTCAGCACTGGGCTGTGGGGTGTGGGACACAGCACACTTCTGTCTGGACTGAGTCTCTCTGCCTTGGGAATGATGCAGAGAGGCCCCAAAAGGACCTCACTTTCCTCTGTCAGATCTCCTTTCGGGAGGCTACCGCGAGAGCCTGCGCTTCTGAGCAGTCTTGGGTTTCAAGCTCAGCTCTATTCACCTGCTGTCACCCGGCCCCTTCCTCACAGGGCCGTTGTTAGGAAGTGAAAGCACTGGCATGGAGCACACACAGGACACAGCTGCTAATCCTGGGATTCAGAGAGGCCAAAAACTGGCCAAGGCCGGAGCTCCCAGGTCGTCCTGTCTCCTGGGGGAAGTGATGCTGCCCTTCTGTGGAGAGCCCTCCCTTCAGAACAGACGTGGAGGTGTCGGGGTGCTGCCTGGGTCTGGTTTGCTTTCAGACATGGTGCCAGCAGATCCAGGGTGCATGCCTCAGCGCCAGGAAGCTGCCCCACCCCAAGCTGTGGTGCTGACTCTCAGAAGCAGAGCCAGAAAGCTGTGAATGTTGTGTTTTTAAAGATGGTTACAGAACAACTGCTCTCACCCTGCAAGCTGGCAGGGTGGGGTCATCAGCCATGCATTTTCCTTGGGTCAGGAGCTGAAAACCACTCATGCATGTGGCCACTGTGTGCCTGCTGTCCACCTAGGCACCGTGCTAGGCACTGGAGATACAACTTAGCAAGACAAACACAGCCTGAAGTTTACAGATTCCCAAGGAAGGTGGAGGCAAAAATATATAAGAATGCTTAAAATGACACACAGTGTTGGAAAGCAAGGGCTGAGATGGAGAAATAGAGGGAGGATACAGTACACAGGGTAGCCTGGGAAGGGCTCAGGAGGGAGTGGCAGTTAAACTAAGAGCTGATGAGTGAGGAGAAACCCACTGTTTCAGGGATAAGGTGAAGAAAAATATGCAGACAAATCCAAATAGTACCCTTAAAAATGTTTATGCCATGAGAGTAGTGATTCCAATCTGAAGGCAGTGAAGGAGACATGAGAATACGCGCAGTCTGAGGTCTTGGTGTGCGGTGGGGACGGGCAGTGACACAAAAAAGGACATTACTGGGACGAATGGAAATAGAGTGGATGTCACTTTGTAGTAGATAAAGACAGTGATGGTCAATTTTCTGCATGTGATCATTAATCCTGGGGTTTAATTTGTTTTCTGCTGGGGAGGGCACTCAGGGTCTCAAGCACACTCCACCACTGAACTACACCCCCAACTCCCACCTGGGTTAGGCCAGAAAATGCCTCCCTGCTTTTTTTATCTTTTTGAGACAGGGTCTTGCTATGCAGTTCAGGTTTGAGCTCACTTTGTAGCCCAGGCTGGTCTCGAACTTGCAACAATCCTCCTGCCTCAGACTCCCAAGTTTTGGGAAGGCAGGCATGTCCCAAAACTCCTAGCAAATGTTCCCATTCAGAGACACCCTAGATAAATAGTCACAGTGTTTCCAACTTACTCTCATGACACTAATAATCATTTTAAAGGAAAAATGAAAATCATTCCAAGCAAAGGGATCATTACGTGCCAAGACCTTGAGGTGAAAAATAGCTTGTCTTGCTTTAGACAGCACAGCAGTAAACTGGTGCCCTGAACATCGGGGAAAGCTCAAGTTGACAAGGATCTTTGATTACTCAGAGCCAACAGCCAAGTTAGGGGGCCGACTAGGAGATTCCTTCCTCCAGGCAAGAGCTGGTGACAGCCTAGCACCACTCCTTAGCACAGAGGAGGTGAAGAAATGAGAAGGCGGTGCTCACAGGACAGGACCTCACATGACCCACACGGTGCAGAGAGACAGGAGGGAGAGAGAGAAGTCAAGGGTCACTCCAGAGTGACCGCTGGGTGAATGGTGATGCTGTCTGCTGAGTGCTAGGGGAAAGTAGGTGATAGGAACATAGATCAAGCACACAGTTGGGGCACGCTGAGGTCAAGTGGCCTGCAAGGCATTCAAGTAGGTCACAGATGCCCAGCTCCCAGCTGAGTAAATGCTGAAGTCAGAGTTCCCTGCAGCAGGTGGGGAAGGGAAGGCTTGGAGGCAGCAGCAGCTCAGCCCTGCACTCCAGCATCTCCACTTGGCCTCAGCTGGCTTTGAGGCTCTGCACCCCCATCTCCCTTCATCCCAACTAGAGATGCTTCTTGATCCAAACTTAGCTGTAACCCAGGTTCCTGCCATCCAGGGGAGCAGACATTTCATATCCCCCCAGCCCTTCCTCATCCCCAAAAAGAAATGGCAGTGTCCCAAAGGAAGCCTGGTCAGTCACCATGGCAACAGCTGAGAGTTAGGCTAGAACCAGCCAGGTGGAGGCTGACTGCAGAGCAGACCAGCTGTGACCCAGAATGGAGTGATGTCATCCTATCCTATCTCCCCTCAACTCCTAGTTCAGTCTTAGGAAATCCGTTCCTGGAGAGCTGCTACAGAAAAAGCCAAAACTCTGAGAGCATGCAGAGAGGGGAGCAGGGAGGTGTTCAGGGAGCCATCCACCCCCATCTCCATAAATATTTCACCTTGGGCCCCAGAAGAGCAGAAAAAGGATATTGATTGGAACAGGCTCACAGAACCTCTCAACCCTGATTCACGCACACACACAGAGCCACACACGCAGGCTTTCTGTCCTCGATTTTACTCCCCATGGGGCTCATAAAAGACTTGGCTCTGACTGTGCTAAAAGCTGCACAGTAACAATGTGCAGTGATGGCCGCAGGGAAGGACTTTGGTGGTGACAGTCAGGGGTCAGCTGCAAAGCCAGCAGGGCCTCTTCCTGTTCCACGCCGCCTTCCCGTCACCAAGATGCCCCAGCTCAGGCCTTTTGCCCTGGATACAAGGAGGCCCAAGGTCAGGTGGAACCATCTTTAAGTGACGCAGCCTCCCAGAAGCAACGCAGAAGCAGAAGAACCCAGGCCAGCACCCCAGAGACACCGCAGGAAGCCTGATTCACCTTCTCTGCAGACTCTGCTCAGCCCACCTGACAAGGAGACCCATCCCGCCCACCCGCTGCCCCCTGGGACTCACGCTCTGGTCATCGCCAACGCTCAGCATGTGGTTAGCGATGAAGCGCACACCATCCACTGCCTCCCGAAGGCCACAGCCACACGGGTCCCCGGGGTGCGCCAGGCCACCCGCGGGTGCAGGCTCCGCTCCAAAGGCCCCTGCCAAGCCCTGCACAGATGCACGGTTGACAAAGCAGGTGCAGGAGTCGGCCCCAGGTGCCTCACGGAAGAACAGGGCCCCTGCGCCCTGACGTTCACGCTGCTGTCGCCGCAGGCGCAGGCGCTGGCGGGCACAGCGGTGGCGCGGCTGCTGCATGAAGAGTAGCGCAGGCAGCTTCTCCAAGAACACGACCTTGACCCAGGGCGCCATGGTGTGCGTGGTGGGCGAGCGGTGGTGCACGTTGAGCACGCACACGCTGGTGACGATGGAGAAGGTGACCAGCACCATGGTGAACATGAGGTACTTGCCAACGAGCGGCACATCGAGCGAGGTGGGAGGCACAATCTTGGAGATGAGCAGCAGGAAGACCGTGAGCGCCAAGAGCACGGAGATGCACAGCGTCATCTTCTCGCCACAGTCCGATGGCAGGTAGAAGACGAGGATGGCCAGCGAGGTGATGAGCACGCAGGGGATGATGAGGTTGATGGTGTAGAAGAGTGGCTTGCGGCGAATGATGAAGTCGTAGGTGATGTCCACGTAGGTGGAATCGTCAGGGTTCTCGTTGCGCCGGCCTGGCAGCGCCACAATGTCCCACTCCCCGCTAGGCGTGAAGTCGTCCAGGCTGGCCACGTCGCTCTTGAGCACCAGGTCGATCTCAGTGCGGTCGTAGGTCCACGAGCGGAACTTCATGGTGCAGTTCTGCTGGTCAAATGGGAAGTGCTTGACTTCAATCTTGCAGGCGCTCTTGTAGATGGCAGGTGGCAGCCAGAAGATGCTGCCGTCATAGGAGACCACCGCGTTGGAGTAGAAGGACACCTCGTACATACCATCGGCACTGTCAAGGGAAGGGTAAGGTCAGCCGAGGCCTAAGTGGTTCCCGGTTCACACCCATCCACCCATGCCCAAGTGGGAGGAGATAAAAGGCAGGCGAGCTAGGAGGAGGACGCCAGGGTGGAGAGAAGCATCCGAGAGGGGGAGGGCTGAAGCAGGAGCTAGCAGCAAGGGAGAGGGGCCCTAGTCAGGAGACCTGTGCAGCCCCTCCAGGGTAGAAGAGAGGGCAAGGAGGGAGGGGACCTGCTTCTGACTTGTCTCATAGTGTGTAAGTCTGTTACTTTTCATAAGTGCGAGGAACTGAGACCAGAGTGAGGAGCTCCAAGCCATGGAGGGGGCCAAGGGCAGGTGGGAGTAGGATGTGGTCCCATTATCTGTGGGATCAGGTGGAGACAACCTAGAACCTGGAAGAGAAACTGGGACTTTGAGTCCTTTGATCCTGCCCAGATTTCCATGAAAGTCTTTTTTTAGTCATTTAGCCCTGAGGGCCGTGGATCTTACATCCTCACCACAGCTTCAAGTTCCTGGCAGTCCTAATTGGCGGGTCATGGCCTAAATCAACTTTACCTGGGTCTTCTGTCTGCCTGCAAATGCCCCTTCCTGCTCATAGCAAAGGTAATTTATCTGCCAGCAAGACATTTCCCCCCTGAGTGTTCCCATTGTTTCTCCCTAACTTTCCATTACCCCAAAGGCCACTCTTATTGTACAGGACCACATCTCGGAGCCAGATATGTTTAGAAGAAAGTCAAAGTTTCTTCATATTGTCAAACTTCTCAGCTTCCAAGTGAGGCGATAATCTTCCCACTCCTGGAAAAGGGGGGGGGGGACAGAGTTCGAGGTTAGGGACAAGCTGGAACCCATATGACTTGAAGAAGCCTTCAAACATAGCCTCCTTCCCAAAAATGAGTTCTTTGCCCACAAAGTATGGATCATATGATTTCTTTTCATTTAATTTGTACAATTGAGCCAAAGTGTTATGATCTACATTTTACAAGTGAGAAAATGAACCTAGGAACATTGAGTATGTTTAAAATAACAGAGCTAATGAATAACTGAACCAAGCTCAGTTATTTAGGACTCTAAGGTATATAGGTTTTCTCCTTCTATTGAAGAAACTGACAGGATGAAAACTACATAAACAAAAAAAGTACATAAAGAGGAGGAAAGGGAAGGCCACAGGCGTGGTGGGAAGAGCACTGACCTGGGTCAGCCAAACATTGGTGGTCATGATCTGCTCCCGCTCATGCTGCAGGGAAAGAGGGAAGCTTCTGAAGGGTCCCCTGCCATCCCCACCACAACCCACATCCCACCCTCATGGGACCCACAGAGAAGTAAACATTCTGGTGAGGCTGACTTTAGCCACTTGGCAGATAGCTTGGGACCCACACTCACCACACTGATGAGCTGTGCCAGTGACACCATGAGCTGCACTGTCACCAGCTCAGAGCCATTGGTGGCTGGACGAATAAGTTTGTTACAGTGGACGGGATCCAGGAGATGCTCCACTAGTCGCTCCTCTGTGTCTGTACCCCACACTCCTAGGCAAGGCAGGGACAGGAAGTGAGTAACAGAAGGGTTCACAAAGAAGCCACCTTCCCAGCAAGTGAGGTGTTCCATTATGTACAGCATTCTAGACTGTCACTTCCTACTGCTGTCTCTAAGGATGTTTTGAAGTGGTCATGTTTCCCCCTGGAGGTCCTGAATTAAGGATCCCATGGAGAAGTCTTTGTCTGTGACCAATAACTAAGAAGTTCAGACATGGCCAGACATGGTAGCACATGCCTATAATGGGGTGGCACATGCTTATAATCCCAGCACTTGGGAGACTGAGGGAGAAGGATTGCCATGAGTTCCAGGCCATCCTACGCTACATGCTGAGTTCAAGGGTACCCTGAGCTACACATTGAGGTTTTCTCTCTCTCTCTCTCTCTCTCTCTCTCTCTCTCTCTCTCTCTCTCTCTTTCTCTCTCTCTCTTTCTCTAAAAAAAGTTGAGACTAGCCTTATGGAGAGACTTCCCGATGAGAACCCACTCAAGGGCGGATGAAGCACTGACCTGGGTCAGCCAAACATTGTACAGGACCACATCTGGGAGCCAGATATGCTTAGAAGGGAGTCAAAGTTTTCATATTGTCAAACTCCTCAGGCTTCCAAGTGAGGCCTGCTCTTCTTCCAGAGTCCGCCAAGGAAGAACAGTTTGCATCCCACCACACACCTCTTCAGCCAGTATCTGTTAATGTGTATAGATATCACTGTGTGTCTCCCTCCACATGGGACTGTGCTCCTGACACCGTCCCCTTCCCTTGTGGGACCCAGGCCTGGGTAGAATGGTTGGGCAGCCTAAATCGTGGCTTCCGAAGCTGTGGTTGGGTTAGTCCCAAGCTCCATACCCATAGGAGTGCAGCCCGTGAGTGGCATGCAGGTGTGGAAATCTCCTTCCCTCACACCTAGCAGTCCGCTTCCATAACTGCACAAACATGCCCCTCCCCAGGCCTTTGGAGAGCTCCTTCTCTGTCCTCAGCCTGTCAGCTTCCCTTTCAAGTTTCCTGTCTTGTGGGACAAAGAGGACCGAAAAGTCTGTTCTCTTCGCTTTCTGCCTTATTCCCAGAGAATAACAAAGGAAGGAAATGATAGAGACCTTAGGGAGGGATGCGCTACCAGATATGTTGCTTGAGATAATGTGTCACCAAGAAATCCAGTGGCACCTCAGCTCTTGTCAGAACCAGCCCCCTGCCATCACAGAAAGCTTCCTCATCTACCCACACCCTCCTCACCACCACTGGCCAGGATTCCACTTCTCCCTAGCATCGCTTCTCAGGGTGGCTCCTCTCTCAGTTCAGTCTCTGGGTGCTCCCCGCCACATCATGGGTCTCCTGCCTACCCCTCAGCAGGCTTCCCCAGCCCTAGGGAATCCCTCCCTTGCACCTTCCGGCCTGGCTGGGTAAAGCAGAGCACAGCATCTTGGGCCATCGCCCAGGGTACCGTGACTAGCGGGACCTGGCCAGTGCCCGTCCTTACCTAGGAACAGCCCGAGGAGGCCCAAGCTGAGAAGCAGCGCCATGGGGCTGCAGCTCCCGGACATTCAGCCCGCATAGCACCAGCCTGAGCGGCCGGCGCGCGCTGTCCGTGGTGCTGAAGTCGCGCCCAGGTCTCGCTGCCAGGCCAGGTGGTGTCCAAAGCCTTGGTGCGCCTGTGCTGCCACACGGTGGTTCCTAGGGCGCAAGAAACTGACCGAGGGGAGGAACCAGTTTCTTTGCTACCCCGATGGAGCAAGCAGAGGCTTCTCTGGTTGCGCTTCCAGGGACTACAATTGGGCCGGGAGGGGGAGGAGTCTCCGCCCCGGAGGCGGAAGCGCCAGGCAGATCCCTGGGCAGGGTGGGGGCGGGTCCCGGGTGGGTTAGTCTTCCACTGCTCCTGCCCAGGTGGGGCGGGCGTGAGGCGCCCAAGGGCTGTCCACCAGGTGGGGGAGTTGCCAAGCCCAGAAGTTGAGGGAGACACAGGACATGAAACGGTCTGAAAAGGACTAGGAGGCTGGCAGGAAGGATGGTGCGGGTCAAGAGTGACACAATGAGAGGGCAAGAGACCAAGTTTCTGGGGATCCTGCTCTTTTCTCTCTTCCTGGGAAGCCTAAGAAACTGCTTTTTAGGCCGTTAGAGAAAGAAAAGTGGGGGGGGGGGGTATTGAGGGACAGGTTGTTAAAGAAAACAGCTTTGGAGTCTTGGAACAGAGCCCCCTCACCTGTCCCTACCTCCTCCTCCAAAATCTCTCTAAGAGCCCAGGGCCCCCCCGACCCACAATGGCTGAGGCAAGGAAGTGCAGACTCCTCCTGCATGAAGGTAACCTTGAAGGCCTTGAAGCGCGGGAAGATGAGCAGCCGCATGGAGGATCCTCTCTCACCGCATTTGCTTCCACTTCACTCTGTCTTCTGTGCTCCAGGAGATCAGGGGATCTTTTCACAGAGAAAGACAGAAGCCAGCACAAAGGACAGCAAAGATGAGAGACATGTGGAAGCTCAATGGCATCTTTGATCTTGAAAATCCTGAACTGCTGAGCCAATAAAGGCCTCTCTGGTTTTTTTTTTTAAGGTAGATTTGTTATCACTTTCAACCAAAAGATCCCTGACCAAAGTGAACTTATCACAGAGCAAGGCCATGTTTGTTCCTCTCGCCCCGCCTCCAATCTCATCTGGGCCAGTCTGCCCTCTCTCCATCCCTGTAATGTCTTTAAGATCCTTGAACATTTGAACCTTGCCATCCCCTATATTTATGAGGCTTTTAAACACAAGGTTCTCCTTGGCTCTTTTATCAATCATTTTCCCTCTAATCCCTTCTTGGAGCATTTGGCAGGTTTTAATTCTTGAAAGACACTATATCTCATCTGGGATAAAGTCAGACACTTGTAATTGATAGAATTCTGGCGCGGATGAAAAGATAAGCAGTATAAAATATAAATGACTTTTATTTTAAGAATGTGGGGAGAGACCCCCTCACCCTCCGGGGTCTGGCATTGTCTCAGGGGGCTGACATTCTCTCCTTTGGACACGTTGAGTGGGAGCATACATGTAGCTTAGGTTTGGGGTGGTGCCTACGGGGCATTAGTGATGCACAGGTAGCCCATTGGTATTCATTTCACGCTACAGATAAATTCTTAGGGGCAGAGAAGATATAGCTCAAGATAGAGCATCTTGTTCCCCTTCTACTGCTTTACCAGCTACACTGTACGGCCTAGGGCAAGACTGTTTCACTAAAATATAGTGTAAAGTACCCTCTAAAAGCGCGACTAGTGGCAATTTATTTAACATGTGCCCAGGTTTTGGAAATGATGGGAAGAAGCAGGACAAGTTCCAGAAGAGGTTTAGAGAAGAAAAATTGTCACACGCCTCATGGGGCACATGAGAGTGGGCATAGCACTACACCACCAGCTGAAGGGCATGCATGTCTAAAGGTGCAGTGATCTCTTAGCAAGGAAATCTTGGTGCCGATGAAAGGAGCAGAGAATAAAAGCCTTAAGAATAAAGGGAGGAACGTGTACAGCCTCTGCAAGCAGAGCGAGGGGCACAGTGAGAAGATGCACCTCCAACAATTTGTGTGTCTAGTGTATGTCAGGAACGGTAGAGGGCGTAATCCGGTCAAAAGGATTTAGTCCAGCTTTGAGGAGATCACAGTGTAGCTGCAAATTACTTCACAGTGTGGTGGCTGCCCTGGGAGAAATGTAGATGAGAGGCACAGGGGAGGGACAATTAACAGTGCCTGGGGGCATGGGGGGGATGGAGGTGAACATTGCCATTACAAAGAGAAGAAAGCTGTAAGCAAGGGACGCTTGACATTGCACAGTCCTGGGAGGACACGGCGCTTCTGGGTGTGCAGTGACGGAGGAGGCAAAAGGTGTTCTCCTAAGGAAGTTTCTTGGTGGAGTTGTGGCCTCTTTCTGGGTTGACACACAGAATAGGAAGGGGGGTTGCTTGCTTAAAGCTGTCACTGCTCCCCCATGCTCCTTCAGGCCAGTCGAAGCAACCAGCTCACCACGACCTCTACCCTTCTCCGGTCTTGCAGCTTTTACCTCGTTTTGTTCCAGCCTGCTAAGGAACAAGTCCTCAAGCACAGCCACCCACTGACCAAGGAGAGCTGCACCCCGCCCACCGTCCTGTCCCCAGAGTCCTTCATGCCTCCTGACTCCCAGGAGGGAAGAACAGGCCAGCACCACACAGGGCAGAAGGGGGCAGTGCTGAGGCAAAATAGTGATTACTTCAGCACTCTCATTACCTCTGACCAGCCTCTGGCTCTTCTGTCTCTGTTTCTGTCTCACTTTCATTTCTTTTTTTTTTTTTTTTTTTTTTTTTCTTCTTTTTGAAACATTGTCTCTCTATGCAGTCCAGGCAGGCAATGAGCTCACTATATAGCTGATGCTAGCCTCAAACTCATGGCAATCCTCCTGCCTTGGCCTCCCTAGTACTGAGATTAGTGGCATGCACCACCTCATCTGGCTTGACTTGCTTTGTTGAGACAGGGTCTCACTATGCAGCTCAGGCAGGCTTGAATTCACTATGTAGCTAAGGCTGGCTTCATACTCCTAACAACCTTCCTGCCTCAGCCTCCTGAGTGCTGCGATTACAGGCAGGTGCCACCATTTTTGGCATACAAATACATATGTTTCTGCTGGGTATGCAACTAAGACATACACTCTTGTTATTTTTAAAGGAGCATATAGTGATATAATTTTGTAACCTTCCTTTTCATTTACAAATTCTCAAACATCTCCTTACACGTAAATATTTTTTCATAATTAATTTTTCTGTCTTACTGTGTCATCCAGACTTATCCTTATTTTTTCTGTCAGACCACATTATAGTCAATTATATTTCACTCCAGTTCATCTATTACCATGCATTCTTGAGGGAAGAAACAGAAAATACAATTCAAGCTAAACTGAGCCACAGCTGTTGGGTAAAGAACTCCTCCTGTATGGCACAAGTTATGCCAGGAGCTTCCCATGAGGCCTGTATCTCCTTTATCGGCACGTCCCCAGCACCTACTGCAGCTCCTGGCAGAGAGCAAGTGCTAGGAACACATCTGTCAAGCCAGTGTCAGAGCACTGTGCTTCGGGGCCAAGTCAAAGAGAAAGCTGTGCGTTCTGCTCCACGTGAGTGCACCTGCTCACTCAGATAACACCTGACCTTTAGAGCAAAAGAAAATTCCTACAGCCCACTTTCCATTGAACAGCTGGAATGATCTGTAAAGTGTTAAATCCAATCACGCTATTTCCTGATTAAAATCCTCCAGTGGTTTCCCACCACACTTTGAATAAAACCTAAACAACTTCTGTGGTCTCCATGATCTAGCCCCCACCTTTTCTACTGACTTTGTCTCATATCCTGTCTCCCCACTTTCACTAGATTTAAGCTACACGAATCTTCTCTTTCTTAAAGCATTTATTGTCATGCAGTTTTATGCACTTAACATGGGTTCTCATAAAATCCTATCCATGACCTGCCAAAGTAGGCACTACCATGATCTCTACCTTATAGGTGTGAAAACTAAGGCCCACACAGGCCATGGATAACTTGCCCAGAGTCATGGCATGAATCTCGGGTGGAGCTGGGATTCAAAGTCCATGTTCTTAGCCAGTGTATCCTTAACTCCTTATTCTGGATCTCAGCCTTTGAGATTACTGCTACCCTGCCTCAGACAAACCTTCTGTTTCTCTCAGTCCTGCTTATTTAATAGAGCTCCCCTCAAATGCCACCTCCTTAGGAGGACCTTCCCTGACTACTGGACTTAACGTAACCCAAGTCACTCTCTCCATGTGGCCCTACCTTAATTCCTCACACTGACTTCAAGTCTTGGATATTCTTCTGGCTCCCTGCACATTTGACTTTTGTGTACTCCTTGCACTATGATGAAAGTGTCACGACAGCTTCTCTCATCTGTCAACCATTGCTTTGTATCCACACCTAGACAGGCACCTAACACATGGAAAGTCCCACTAATGCTCATCGAGTGCTTCTTGACTTCTGAGTAGTGACAGTAATCGGATTAATAGTAGGTTTAGCACTTGCTGTGCCATGGGCTGGGCACCAAGCACTCTGTTACTCCTTTATGTATCTCATCTCATCTTAGCTGGCACAATGACCACGTTGCAAGGTAGAGTGTCTTATTTACAGATAAGGATTCTAAGTTTTCAGAAAGTAAACATCTAAAAAAGCAGCTAAGCTCAAATCCAAGTCTACTTTGGTCTGACTCCCCAGTCCATGCTCTTCCCCAGCACTCGTGCTGCCCTTGCTGGTCTCATTCAGAGGCTGCATCAGCTCTCATGAGTGCCCTTGGCTGCTCTCTGTTCTGAGCTCAGAAGGCAAAGCCCACCAGATGGTGCACATCTCTCCCTGCTTTCATGTGCTGTTTCCCCTCCCAACTCCTATTTCCCACAGACTCTGCTCTCCTTTGACAGGTCTCATTCTCTGTCAGGCTCCTGTTATAGTTTCTCAGGCTTCAAAGCTTCCAAAAATTGGTAATGTTTTTAATCTTCCTTGATTGTAAAATAAGTGCAAATTCATACAAATGGCTTTGAATGCCTACTGTTGTAGTCAGGGTTTACAAAGGAAAAGTTTTAATATAGTATAAATAATGTATAGGTTTATTTTATAGTATTCAAAGAAGGGCTAGGGATTTAGCTCAATGGCATAAGCTCTTGTAATTGTGAGGTCGTGAGTTTGATCCCTTACAAAATGTAAGAAAGAAAACAAGATTACAATATTCCAAGAGTCAAATGCAAAAGAGTGCAGGAGATCTGTCCACACAGGAGACTCAAAGAATCCAGCCGAGGGCCTATATCCCACAGCAATGTCCTGCATAA